ACCCGCTTTACTAGCGTTATGTCGGACCCGGAATCTAAAAGTGCATACGTTGTCACGTTTCCTGTAGGACTGCCAAGCTTGGCACGAATAACTCCTAGGCGTGCCGGAAGCCGGCTACCTCGAGTTAAGGCATACAAACCCTCCGTCCCTGAGGATGTAGAAGCTTTGGTTCCGGGTTGTGATGCATGTAACAAACTATGATGTCGTCCCCTACAACTCGGCTAGCCTCAACGAACTACTGACTTGCAATCCTTGGCCATGTGGGAGTCTCCTAAACACGCAAAGCATGCAGTATGCTCCCTTATGCATTTCCATCTATCAGGAACTTTCATAAACATAAAGCGCTGGCAACTGGAAATTTGGTGGGGCTGTGAACATAATGCGCAAGCACTTGAACGACCGTCTGCGTCTGGTCTGATGTTAGTAAGGAAACTGTTATAACCATCTCGTCTAGGGGTTTGGTTGGTAGAAGTCTGCGTTACACGGGGGTGTCTTACGCCCCCTCTCGAGCCAGTTGCCCGAACTGACTCCTTGCAACACGGGAGCGCGTGTTCACAAACTCCGTCAAGTCTGTGAACGTTGGGTCCCGGCCACTCACAGATATCTTATCTGCCACCTCAGCCTATTTGTGCTGCAATGGCGAGGGAAGAGAACGCACGATTCTCTCTAGAACCGCTAGTGAGTGCAAGTCTGAGAGGTAACACATTTGCCTCAGCGCAATTTCACAACTGCGCATTTTTATACACGATTCCGACAAAGACTTGGCTGCTCCAGTAGTCTGTCGTGCAAAAGAAGCAGGCTTTCTAGTAGACAGCGAGTGATAATATGAGGCTGACCAAAGAGATTGCGTAGAATCTCCCGTGCCCTGGAATATGCTACTTCCGGCGGGAGCATCACACATTCTTCAACGGCCGCCTTCGCGTCGCCTTGACAGTAGTGGATCAGATAAAGGAGCCACTGACCGGCGTCCTGCACCTTGCTCTCAATGCATAACTCAAATTGGCGGGTGAACCTCCAGTAATGACACGGATTACCATCAAAGTATGATAGTTCCACCTTTGGTAGGTCCATAGTGGCTGATGCTGGAGTGACGGAGATGGCTGGTTCTGGCCCTCTGATATCATCAGCATATCTTAATGGTCTTTCACCTGTCTGACATTGCTTCACGTACCCCGCTAATCGTTCATTTAGGGCCACTGGTTCCCAGACTTCATCTGGTGAGTCCTCTTCGGCCTCTAGCTCAATTTTGGCTAACTCAGTTTTGCTATGCGCCTCTAAGAGAGCCCGCTGGAGTTCGACCTCCCGCTTAACCCGGTACTCCTGGAGCTGAGCAATCCTTAAAGCTTTCATAGCTACACTACCTTTACGACTAGAAGCACAAAGTGACTTACAAGAACCAGGGCGCGAAGCAAACTGCATTGCAACTGTTTCCTCCGCAGCTTCAATCGTTTCCGTGTCCTTGGATCCGGTTTCCTTCACAGTTGTTCCAAAGGTTGACATCTTTCCTTCAAACAAGACGACGTAAGATGTCGAGTACTGTAACGGTCGAACGGTATCTTCGAGTGACGCGTAATACCAGAACCTCCGGGTAGGCAAAACAAAGTCGGAGCTGGGTTTCTATACGGTACTATTAGGGTAAGAGAAATTCACAATTTGTACAAACCTCGACAGTAGATACGCGTCCAAAACAAACAGTCCGCTTGGACTACAAAAGTACAAAGCAAGGGAGCAAACAGGCTCTCACGTGCGACAGCCACACGTGCAAATTCAGATACAAATGGCCGGATGACCTCAAGGCCAAATAGGTGAAATGGGAAGGAAAAACAAACGTCAGTTCATGTATGCACCCTAAGCACAAAAGTGGGGGGGTTACAAATGGGGACAGAATAAACGTAGGGAATTTCAGTGTCAACACAACGGATGATACAGAGGCAGTCACATGAATAAATTCATGTCAACAAAATTTTTTAGCCATATTTAGAACCGTTGGTCATTAACAAGAAGCTTAAAACATTTACAAGTAGTACAGTTTAAAGGCTGAATGAAGACACGTTCATTAAGTCAACTAGCACGGGAAATGAGAACTTTACGAGACTACATGGGACAAGTGAAAAGAACGAACAAGATCAAATCTAAGGTGGGAACGGAGGGCTGTAAGTCTTACAATAACGCGCGATTGACTGGCAGCACGAATTACATTGTCTCGTGTAGAGCAGGGGATAAAAAGCGCGGAAAAGTGAACCGTCGGATGGAACCTGCTCAATAGTCACCTATCATCAAACAGTCCAGCGTGTCGTCGGAAGCTGGTGCTGACCGTTCAGCAACAGATCGTGGTATTTGAATGCCGTGATTACGTGGCCCAGAAACATCCTTCTTCAGTTTACCTAAACGTGACTCAAAGGGAAACGCGGAAAACCGATCCAAGGGTTTATGTGCCTCCACATCATTCGTCAAAGGTACCAAGCTATGTACGTTGTGCGTGACAGCCCGCGCCTGCGACAATCTGTACAGAAGACGCGCTTAGCCACCAACCAAAAATTCCAACTGATTCTTCGTTATGCCTTGGCATATTAAGTGCATATAATCAAAGGGGAATGACTTGATCATGTCTATTGGTAACCGCTCAAACCTGTAGACACCGATATAATGTCTAGCATCGGACCTTGAATGGAAGTCGGTGTCTGTCCTCGTATGGGTATCCTGTTGTGGAAGTCACTCTATGAATGACTTCACGATCGGAGCGCAATTACCACAAACTAATCCGTCTTTGAGCTGCTATTCTGTGGAGGTGCTGTCACGTTGACTGCTGCGGCCGCTGTACAAACTAATCGTCCAGTACGCTCCACCAAATTTAACCCATTCCGTTTAGACCACAAGCCTTCCATAGATATTTTTTACGCTAAATTTATTTGGCTTAGTTTGCCACAATCTAGTAATCTTCAGTTTGAATAATCAGGCTTTTAATGTCACTCATACTAAACGGGGAGAATTCTGATCATACATACATGCGTTACAGCGGGACAATTGCAGCTTTGCAGAGGTCTAGTCGAGCTGCCACAAAAATTACTACATGACTCAGATCCGTGGATCGCGGAACGCTTTTCGTGGTGCTTGACCTCTTTTCCTTGGAATGTTGTCGCCTTCGAGGAGATCTATCACTTCCTGACGCCCTGTTTAAACGAGGTTTGCACAGCATTTTTTGCACCGTCGATCCAGCTAATACACTGAGGGACATGATAAGACGATTTTCAACCTGAGAGCACATGCTTTTATTAGGTAAACGTTTTTCTCATTTCGGGTAGTTGCGGCGTGGAAGAGCCTTCCTCCGGCGGTTATCCACACCACATCTAATATTCAGTTCGAAACACTATTAGACGCTATTTCATTCTAGTACTCGCGCTTGCTAGCTTACTGCCCCACGCAGAGAACTCAAAGAGCAGTACCACGCCTTTTGTTCACTTGTGCCTCCTAAGTAAACGTCAGCAGCTGAATCACCAAAGCACCAGCGACCTGGAAAACTTATGCCAAAGCCTCCATCCTGTATATCGATCCGTGGATCCCTGCTAACTCGCTAGCCGGGGCTTTAGCATTTCTATGTTCCTAACATATAATCCCAGTGGTTATAAAATTGGCCACAATATGAGAAAGCATGGACCACGGAGAATGTACCGGAACACTGAATTTTCACTCGCCCCGCAGGGAATGGTCTGCTGAAGCGGCGTTCCTTGCCTAGACCGAGGAACTGATCTTATCTTTCTCGTTGCTGCGGCCACTCCTGTCCAGGAGACTACTAACGTCGACTGAGGACTTGGCCGCAATGTTCGGTATGCGAGGTGGATGACAGTGGACTGCTGTCCGGCTTTTTATCTCATTGGGGTCCACGAAGCCTAGTAAATTTTTAGAACGCTTGTTGTTTTATTGAACTAATTCATTACCTTGGGACACATTTTCCCGCCGCGCGCACTATGGTACGCGTCCAGTCTTCTCAGGGTTTCATCTATTTGGACGTGTCTACATGACTCCTGGAATTTCCGCATCATAAAAGCAAGAAATGCCTTTGTCCGGGTCTGAAGAATTTATCGAAGAACTTTTGCAGCGCACCTTCCGGAGGTATTCGGGTGTCTATCGGATAACTTCGTGCCTTTCAGTACTGAAGGACATGTACAGGTCATGAAAGGCTGTGATGTAAATGGACATTCATTGATTTGTGATGGTTTCAACATGCCGATTCTGGTAACAGAGAAAGATGGTCTTAGAATGCGCGTCCCCCCAGAGAACTTTATGCCAGAAGATTTGCTCAAATTCATGGGTATTAACTGTTTTTCAGGACGTAATTGCCATATAGATCCGAACTTCATAGTTGATGTAATAGATGTTAGGCTGCAAGCTGAAGTTCAGATGGCTCTTGGTGATTTCGTTGGGCATTTTGTCTCGAAGCACCGCGTTCGACTTCTGAATATGCTAAGCTTAGAATTTTCTCAGACAAGGTAATGTCTAATGATTTCCTTTCGATACAATCCAGTTTATCCAAACTTGTTGAACCTCCGCATGTAGTATCGGAACTCAGCCTCATTAGCAATTGCTGGATAACAGCTCCCGATGATGAGTTCGGTGAGGTGTCTGACGATGGAAGCTCTGTTACATCTATACCATCCGTGCAAAAATACTGTTTAATGAGTATGAAGGGCAGTTACACTGATTTCCACATAGATTTCGGGGGCTCATCTGTATGGTATCATGTAGTTTGGGTACGTCATTTTGCATACGTTTATAACATTCTACAGGGAGAGAAGATATTTTACCTCATCCCCCCTACGCACGAGAATCGCCGTGCTTACTGGCGATGGATTTGGAATCCTGACCATCGGACTATCTTCTTGCCGGATCTGTTGGGCGTACCAAAAGACGAGCCTAGTATGTTTTGCGAATATCAATGGTTTATCGAATTTAGCCATCCATTCAGAACCTCCGGTTTTCGAACTTCATGTTGGGCCAGGTCAAACAATTCTTTTACCCGCCGGGTGGATTCATGCCGTTTACACCCCTTCTGACTGTCTCGTATTCGGTGGCAATTTCCTCAGTGAACTACACATTCCGATTCAGCTAAGGTTGGTCCTGGTGCTTTGACACATTCATTTATCTCATGAGTATGCTTGTTTGGTCATGTAGTTAATTGTTCGCTTCTTCAGGCTCTGTGGTTAAGGGAGGAAGTTTCTATTTGGCCAAACACAGTAGCTAAATTTGTGCTTACCGTTCTTCCTGAATCGTTCTGCGTCTATGGGAGTTAACTTAAATACAAGCTGAGGTAAATAATTCTTACTGGCATTGTTGGTTCTCTCATAGTGTCTGCTTCCAGGATAACGTCATATACGATTTGATGACCAGTTAGTAGAGCACATGTGCAACCCGATCTGGTTACTTGATGAGGCCATCAAAAGCAAAAGTGGTGTGACCTCGCTTAATCCCGAAGGTGTGCAAACGTTATACGTCATCCAAAGAGCAATAAAAAAGCCAGAGATTGGTTCGAACCATGAAATTCTCCCTAGTAACGCGAGATTTAACTTTGCCATTTTAAATGGGTGATCAGTGAGAATAGGGGTTGCCGAATAGCCCTAGATGAAATGACAAATGGCAAAGTATAGTGTAGAGCTGTGGAAAAGAGGATGGATAGAATTCAAAGCAGACGATTGGGGAAGTACCTCAGCCTTCTCTTGAAGGCCTAACGATTCCATCAGGGTCAGGTTCGGGAGGTGGGAAAAGGTAAAAATATCGAATAAGGGCTTTTGAAAAAAAGGGTCGGGCTCTGTTAGGCATAATGGACAGTTGAGCAGCATGACGTCATCATCATCACCATTGTCGGCTGTAATAACCGCCTACTTGTCGTACAGTGACTGTAGCTGCCACAGTTTCGTTCGCCGATAATTTGAGGAGGTGAGGTAGGTAGCTGCGCATTGGAGACCGGAACTCATAAATTAGTGCGTAAATACAGCACTGTAGGTGGATTGCTAAGCGGGGGGAATTCGGAATAAAGCTATGCATTGAAGGTGATAGCTTGGATGCACGAGCACCATTGAGGTCATGACTGGGCCATGTCTGACCATGTCTCTAACCATTGATGTGGACCGTCTCGGGGTCCTCATCCAGGATGGTGGCAATGGCCAGCGCAGCTGGGTTTGTTAGTAATGGCTTTTATACTTCGCTGCCAAGTCATTTTTGACTGCCTCTGACTCTCCTCAACCCTTCACGTGGTTGTGCGAAAAGAGCCCTTCGAGGAAATTGCTCGACTGGCATACGCAGCACGTCACCAAGCCAGCACAACCGATGCAGTGTGATCAGTTCATCTATCGAGGGTGAGTTATTTTTCCCGAATACCATTCGACGAACTTCAGCATTGCTGATCCGGTGTTCCCACCAGATTCGGGCAATGCTCCGAAGACATTGGTGGTCAAACACTGAAAGTCTTTCGACATCCCCGACGCGCAGCGGCCAGGTTTCTGATCCATATAGTAATATGGAGCGCACCGCAGCATTGTAAACTCAACCAATGACGGAGAATCTGATGTCACGCCTGCGCCACAGGTGACGTAGGTTCGCAAAAAAGGCTCTGGCACTTTACACTTTGCAGGTGTGGAGCGAATGCCGAACCGTGAGGCAGAATTATATAGATTATTTGATATTGTTCGCATTACGACGGGGTCAGATCCCAGAAGAGCTATGTCATCTGCATACTCGATATCCGTGAGCAGATGCCCCGGGAGCACCTCGACCCCATAGGCATTAAAGGTTGGTAGTGAGTCTTCTGTGATCGTGTCAATGACAAAATTGAAAAGGGAAGGTGAGAGAGGACAGCCCTGTCGGACACCACTGGATGTGGTGAACTCAGGCGAGAGCTTCCCGTAGACCTTCACACGACCGCGGGTGTTGGCGTACAGCGCCTTAAGGCGGGTCCAGAATTCGTCGGGGACACCTTTGATCCACAAACACTGCAATAGTGCCTGACGGTCCACAGAGTCAAATACAGGTTTCAGATCAACAAGCAGAACCATTGTTGGCTGCTGGAAGCAGTGTCGCTGTTCCAGAATTTATCGGAGAGTGGAGATATGATCGATATAACTTCTTGCAGGACAGGTGGTTTTCACGCAGCATCCTCGTACCCTTTTTGAAGATAGGGATAACCGTCGGCATGCCCCATTCTCCAGGCACCTTCTCTTTGTCCCATATGGTGACAATAAGCTTTGTCAGGTTGAACACCAGGGGTTTTCCGGCTTCTTTGAAGAGGGCTGTATACAGAAAGTCCTACCATGGTGCCTTTTCACGTTTCAGTAGGGCTGTTTCGCACCTTATATCTTCTTCCGGTGGGCGATCAAGGTTCACATTCCATTTACCCGGACTCATTATCTCCACCGGCTGTGTTGTTGCAGGCCAGCTGAACTGTTCTTCGAAGTGTTCGGTTCATCTTTCTAGTCGACGTTTTTTTCGAGTGAATTAATGAGCCATCTTTTTCATTTATTGTTTCGCTGACCGTTGCTTTCCTAGGGCCAGTCGATCATATCAGTTGATATAGGGCATGGCTGTTTCCCGTAACAAAGGCATTCTCCATCTCGAGCTCTCGATCTCGACCGTATCTCTCGGTCTTTCCTTAGACTCATCACTATTTGGTGTTTGAAGGATTTGTGTGCGCCGTCGTACTCGTTGCTTGCTGGTATGGCTCTCCTGGCATCAGCCATGGATAGCAATTTCGATGATATCCAGTGGTCTTGTGGTTGAATTGGAGAAGTCGACCAGACAGCACTGAACGCTGCCAACATAGTTATTTTCACATCTTGCTACGCTTCATCCACATGCTCACTGCCACCACAGTATTGGTTTACATGTGGCGAGTTGTTAGGCTAGCTCAGATCGGTTCTGTTGACTTGTGGCAGTTCTTCGAAGCTGGTGGATTGGCATGATTTCTGCTGACTTGCGAGGGCCTGAAGGGAAACGAACTGTCAGGCGTGCACGCACCATGGCGTGATCGGAATCAAGTGGTTTGCCCCAGAAAGAGCGGCAGTCTTGAATTGTGGCCCTCCACCGGTGGCTGGTGGCTATGTGATCCACCTGGGTCCACGGTTGATTTGCAGTTGGTGGCCGCCCGATTACGCGGTTCCAACGTTTATTTTGAAAGTTCGTACTTACTAGAAACAGTTCATGATTAGCACACAACTGAAGGAATCGATCTCCGTTGTCTGTGCGGTGAGCATCGACTCCGAATCGATCGCTCAAATTTGGTTCCAAAGAGCTCAGACAACGTACTTGAGCATTCAGGTCGTCTGCAAGGATCACAATGTCAGTGATAGACCCGAAATGGCAAAGAAATGAAATGTGCGAAAAATTCTGAAAACGTCCGTAGGACACCTCACTTGGTCGGCTCGACTAGTTCTCAGGCGCCTCTTATCAGCAGAATGCTCAGGAACCATAATGGTTCTGATGTCCAGCAAAGGAGTTTTGGACCGTTGAATACAGTACTTTGAACAATTCATTTGGCCACACGCTTACTAAAATACGGCATCCCGGCCTCAGAGCGTTTTTCTGTGATAATGGGACCGCTCGGCCTCAGAAGCATCCGAATGTATATCTCTGCTCAAGCGCCGTCGTGCTTATTGTCCCGACGACCTTTCAACTACCCTGTTCAAGGGTGGTGGTGAATTTTTCAACTAGTGACTGTCTAACCTGTTTCTGTCTATCCGAGGGAAACAAACCATCCCAGACAACTGGAGTGAGTTGATACCGTTTTCAAATTCCGATTCGGTCCGTTTTTTCTTGACTCACAAACCTTGCCCTAAGGTGATTCCAGCTCATCACCATCAGCTGTAAAGATCGCGTACAGTGGTTAAGGCGCCAGATTGCGGGCCGGAAAGTCCTTGGTTCGAATCCAACCTCAGCATCTCGACTTCTCTTTGTCCATACTTGGGCAACCTGACAATATCTCATCCCTCGTTTCTCCTTCCGTTGGCATGGTAGCTAGGCACCGAAAGGGTAATACATCTGAACGTACAGTGGTTCTAGTTGCCAAAGTTTCGTTCACCGATGATTTGGAAAGGTGGGCCAGATAGCTGTGCACTGGAGGCGGTAACTCATATGATTGATGCGTAATTCCAGGGTTGTCAGTGGACTTTTGGTTTGGGGGATTGGGAACGGATCTATGCATCGAAACCGTTGCCGTTGAGGGCACAATTTAGCCATGTCGGACTTTCCTTAGGCTCTTCACTGTTTGGCTTTTGGGGGATTTACTTGCGCCGTTCGTTCGCCGAATCGTTCGGCTGTAGAACTTCCCGTGCCCAACTGCCATGCCACCAGAAGGGAGCACGATGGCTGTTATACTGCTAGGTCGCCCAAGCCTAGACAGGGGAAGTCGAGATGCACAGGTCTGGTTCGAACCGCGGACCTTCCTATCAGTAAGTTCGCACTCTAACCACTGATCCATCTTAAGCATATAACTAAAGAAATCGCTTTTTGTTATCTTGCGGTCGCCGAAATGGGTTTCCTCAGGACTAAATCGGTCAACCTGACGATTCTGATCACCCGCCAGAATCACGATATCCGCGATTCTTGCTGACAGTAATAACCGTGACAGATATCTTTTGGAGCTGTCTTTCTCAGCCTCAGAGCTGCCGTCTGTTGGATCGTATGCTGATAAAAAAATATACACCGTTTACCGCATTCATATGCGTTAATCCTGAGTGGCCCAGTCAGCCTGCTCGCTGAAAAGTGACTGTTAACCACAATCCAGCCCAGTAAAGAGCCTACAGCCCTGGGTTAAGCACAACTCTCACGCCGTAGATAGAACGAGCCATTGCATCAGGACCACCGAACACCCGAAGAATAAAGCGCGAGAAATCTGGGATCGCCCCGACCGAACTTTTGTCTCTAATGCGTGTTTCAGAGTCACAGCATACATCGATCGAAGGGGGAACAAGGTCTGATCAAGACCTTTTTGACGCCTAATTTGATATAGTACTCACGCTGGAAGCAGAATGCGGAACAGATCCCCCGAATTTTACAAGGGGCTCAGATAGGGAGCAACGGTTAGGTAGTTGAAAGCTAAAGGAGCCAGAAGTACTTTGGCAAAGGAAGTGTAAGTAGGAGTCAGTGAATGTAGAGCTGAAAGGGCGAACAATACTTTCCGGTTTCCCAGAGCGAAGAAGTTGGTCTGGTTGTGGTACCTCACCAGCAGGATCCTTGCAGAGAATTCCGATCACGACGACGAGGTGACAGCTTTGTTTTGTGGCCTATTTTCGAACATGGTACTCGCAGTGGATGTATTACCATAGAGGTGTCAATTTGACTCTGGATTTATGGGTACCTGATTTTGAGTTGTCTTACAGTGGTATGAGCTGGGATTGCTCAGTGGTTGGAGGGCGAATTCACTGACCGGAAGGTTCGTGGTTCGAACCCGACCTCTGTCTCTCGACGTCCCTTGTCTATATTTGGGAAACCTCGTGCTTCCTGATGGTGGCGTGGCAGTTAGGCACCTCGAGGATGCTACAGCTGAACGATTCTACGGTGGTACCTTGACCCATAGGTATGAAGCGGGATTTCGACTGCATAGGGGCTGCGTTGATCAGATCTTCACACACTGTTGGGTGATAAAACAACGCCACATATGCAGACGACCCATGGTCTTGGTGTTCATTGACTTCAGGAGTGCGTTCGATTCTGTCGGTCGGTGAGTGCTACTGACCACACTCGCTCAACACGTGTGTGAGATTGTGTGGTGAGAATTCTCAAAGATTCCCTGCAAAAGTGATGTCCGACAAGCCTGTTCGCTCTCCCTTTTCTTGTTTAAATTCGTGAAATGAGGCGGCCCTATATTTGCTGATTAGAGCCCTGCTGATCTGGAGTTCGCAGCACATCATCTTCATCTCTGAAATGGAGGCAACGCACAAGTATTGCCGATTTAGCTAACCACCAGAATGCCATCTTTGGGTATGCAACTTCTAAGCACCAAATCGGGCTTCAGAACGTGCAGTATCTGAACAGACTGCATACACTTCAAGGAGAAGCACTGGAGATTGTAGAGAATCTTACCACGGTAGCTTTATTCACTCTGGTGGAAGGTTTCGATGAAATCACTACGCGAATCTGAAAAGCCCGAATCATGTTCGCTAATTCACGTCACTTGTAGCGTCAAGAGGACATCACTGGATCTCATGGGCCGCATGTAGCAGACTATATTAGGGTTCGTGTTGTTATATGGTTGCGAAACATGGCCTGTGTGGACAGAACATGTTTTGGCCACCGATGTCTCAGAACCATTTCTGGTGTCAGATGGCGTCAACAAATTTGTGACGATGTGACTAAAAAGAGTGCTTGGCTGTGCAACAGGTACTTCATTTGTGGAAAACATCCAGTACAAGCAGCTACGATGGCTCGTCCGTAAGCTACGTGTGCCAAAACAAACGTTTTCTGTGCCTTCTTTAGAATTCCGCAAACTGCGAGGTGAACAATGAATGACTCAAAAAAAGTGTGAAAGAGTTTCCGAAGGGTCTAAGTGTTGTGCAGTCTGTCTTTCAGGATGGGGTCTCCGTGACCCTCCTTCCACTTGGCTTAAAGAAGCCTCTGGTGAGTGAAACAGTCACTGGTTGAAACGATTCGCTTGTCTCTGAAGAAGAAGATCACCGCAATCATTGGCTTGAACACTTTGAAGAATAATTCAACTGGGCACCTATGCTTGTTCATCTGGATTCTCAACATGCAACGCAGCCCTGGATCGTAGGCTTGGAACCCCCGACAGCCTCGGAAATGAACGAATTCCTTTTGCCCTTCAAGCTCTACCAAGCTATTGGTATTGATCGACTTCCACCCGCTTTGTTTAAAGCTGGAGGCGCAACGTCACAGTCGATGCTCGTCCAGCTGGGTTACCTCAATCTGGGCGAACGAGATCGTCTCAACCAACTGAAGTGAATGGATGGTAGTACTCATTTTCAAAAACAGTACCCGCAGTGAGTATTGCAACCAGAGGGGAATTAGCTTGAATTCCATTGTAACCAGGGTGTTTGAATCCCTTATTTTATGCCATCCTGTGCGGGCGTAAACACGGTACCCGAGGACAGCAGGCAACATTCGTCCTTGATTAGTTAATGGCGTGAACACTGAAAGGCCCGCAAAACCCCGATTTATATATCTCTGCGAGTGAAAGCCCTGTCGACCTGGAGTATTGAGATGAAGTCGTTCTTTTTGAAGGAGAGCAGATATTGTAAGAAGTACCAGAAAAGCTAACCGAGTTCATCCAGTCTTTCAGCTCTTGCCTCGCGCCCACAAAGTACGAAGCCAAACTTCGGGACGCACAGTCTTTGAACACGCCTGTAAGTACTTCAGGAGTGATACTGGAAGTTTTGCAGTGTTATGCGTATCTAGGACGTTACAGGAGTTCCGACAGTGTGCCAGACGAAGTCTACGCATGAATCCCGAAGGCCGGAATTGCGTATACCAATTTGCGCCATTTGTAGCGTCAAAGGGTACATCACTGGGTCTCAAAGGACGCATCTATAAGACTTCATTGTGGACTGTATTGCTATGTGGCTGCGGGACTTGGCCACTTTTGTCGAAAGATCTGAGACATCTTCAAGTCTTTGACCACCGATGTCTCAGAACTATAACTAGAACCAGCCAAAATCAGTGGATTCGGAAGGAGGTGATCACTCAAAGAATGCATCCACCACTGCAAGCCACGTTAGTTGCGCCAAGTGTTTCGCATGCCACATTACCGCCTACCGAGACAACCACTGCTTTCCGTGCCTGATTCGGAGTGGAGGAAATCTACAGATGGACAGGCTTTGACACAACAGAAGGGAAAGGATGTTGTGGGCGGTTTTAGTACTGTTTTCTTTCCTGGATGGGGTCCACAAGACACCTCAACTGCTTGGCTGGAGATACTGAACGAAGTGATGGTGCTGTTGTTATCAGTTCTTATGCATGCATGCATTCAGGCATGCATTTTTGTGTTAGGCTAGTGCTAAATCCCATTTCATCAGTAGCAGATGCAGGTGTTTATCCGTCATAAAGCTATGGAGAAAAGAACATTCCACTTATGCATATGAATAAACGAGGTATGAGACTTATTTGATGGAATTCAAATGTTAGCTTATTACCTATTCGAGTATCATCTGGGCGGAGACATTCTCAGTGGGATTGGTCCATCCTCCTTGCAAATTGTGCACAGCAAAAGCTAACACTCACTCAACCGAAAAAACTTTATTTTCTGCTCCGGAGAATGCATTAAAATGCAATCTTGTCGCTGTCAGGTAACTTGCAGCGAGGACTTTTCGGACAATTGAACCTAATTGACTAGGTTTCACAGACCTGAAGCAGACGGCTTTCGTGGTCGCACTACTTACATGACATCACAGATTTCAACGGTTTCAACAGTGGTTCTAACCCTTGGGATGCGTACATCGACTTGATTTGCCTGCGGATTTTCTCTTCAGATGCAGCTAATAGGATGGGTAGTCAGATGCTCTCCGTATTTTACCACTTACAGCTTAAAAAAGTTGCGCACACCTGACAACACATGCGATCACCCTGACTTACATTTATCGAATGCTCCTCTGGAGAATCCACACAAATGATCCAAACCAGTTAGTGCCATCAACACGCTACACCAACCAAGCTACCCATTTTTGGGCACACGAAATCTTGAAATCACAACAAGGGGAAATCTACCATGAGAAAGTGTTGCCTGGTGAACATCGTCAGCCCGCGATCTATCACTCCTTTTGTTTATTGACTCAGTGCTTGAAAAAATAGCCGACTGTTTGCTGGGTTAGCACACTGGTAACGTTCCAGGATGACGCTACTGAGGATTGTCCTCTTCACTGACGACCTAGATCTAAGTTATTCTAGCTACAGTGTAGTTGTGCTTTGAGGGTTAGGTATGAAAGCCATTGACCTGTAAACGGATTCGAGTTGTTGGTCAGAAAGTAATCGCGCATTCCAATTATGGAGTGCATTATGTACAATACTACATATTGTTCATCATAACACTGCTGTCACCGATAAGTGATGCACACGTGATCATTGCGAACTTTTGAAGTTCTCACCGGTGATCGGAGCTGAGCAGTCAGAGATTATTGACCTTGGGACTAGCTGTGACTGGCGGAAATGCATTTACTTAACGGATTCGAGTTGTTGGTCAGAAAGTAATCGCGCATTCCAATTATGGAGTGCATTATGTACAATACTACATATTGTTCATCATAACACTGCTGTCACCGATAAGTGATGCACACGTGATCATTGCGAACTTTTGAAGTTCTCACCGGTGATCGGAGCTGAGCAGTCAGAGATTATTGACCTTGGGACTAGCTGTGACTGGCGGAAATACATTTGCTTCATGCTATCCTTGCTTTAAAAACGGTCAATATCCAATGATACAACCACTAACCCACTTGATTTTCGGACACAGCTAATCAACTAACACCATGCACTATTTTACTTTTACGAAGCGTATACCGAATGGAGCAAAAGTCTGAGACGCCCCGAAAGTTTCAGTTTCCAAATTTTGAGAAAATTCACTGGTTCGTTGCTGATTGTATCGCTGGTCGATTGACTAGTAAGTTGGCACATCTGACTTTGCCATCACACTTCATTCACCCTCCGTCTATCTTTAGTAATTTCTGCTTGCGTAGCAGGTTTTCCAGGTGTCCCTACCATCAGAGTTTGAGCGGTCATCTTCAGAGTTGCCTTCCCGTCACAGTGGTTGGGTATTCCACTAAAATTCTGAGAACAGTGCAATTCGCCGATCCTACACTTATACGATGATGTATAATTTTCAATGTTGTCCATTTTTATAGACGTAATGCACTACTCATAAGGTTGTTGAAAATTCTTCGACATCCCACAACCGGTCTCACCCTTCTTAGGGCTCATCAGGTACGCGCAGTCCCCGACTTTCTGTCAACCTTATATACCCCGCTTGAAACCAAATTGCACGAAATTAGCGAAACACGCTCATTTGCAAGCAAATTTGGTTTTGCGAGAGACTCGTCTGGAACCCAGCTGCTTAGAAACATCATCATCAGCTGGGTTCCGGGCGAGTCTCCCGCAAGACCAAATTTGTTTGCAAATGAATGTATTTCGATACTTGTCCGTTTTTGTTTTGTGTGGTAACTGGTTGCGCACTGTGGAATAACTGGGGGTCTAAACTATATTCCCTCTCACTTTTGCCGTTTAGGTTACTGAAAATAAACCGAGTAGTTTCTCATCGTCGGTGGAATATTGGAAATATTCATATGGTTTCCCTTGGTTGTATGATCTTCGAGGAGGCGTGCGTTACATATCGTTTTACGACAGAGCTTTTCGCTGTCGCTACTTTTTGCAATCCCAACGAAGGCTTCATAAAAAATAAATACGTGTCTATCCTCAGGATGTATTAGTTGCTAGTCGTTCATTGACCATTCCTTTCGTTGAGAACTGTGAGGAGTTTAGTTCAAGTCGGACAGAGGCGGAACAGACGGAAACATACACGATATGACAGCCGCGAGTTTCAGGGCAACCCTTTCGTAAACTAATTAAAGGGCGAAGTATCAAAATGTCGGATAATGGTTGATAGAACATGTTCGACCAGATGCCTGGTAAATGTATTCCAATTACTGGTCGAACTTCATGTTCATCGGGATAAGTCTTCTGTAAGTTGAGTAGTGCTATTCTCCTGGATGACTACTCACTCCCGTTAAGCTCCTTTCATGTCATTCCGATATACGACGGGTGTATCAAGTCAATGGTTAAATTGTGAGTTGCAAAACCACAGCACTCGGAAAACCCAACTTGACGTATACGGAATCTGACAGTCTACGCGCAATCTTTCCCACCCTGCTGGCAACCCTTGGTGCATCCCTCCAACCCTGAATGAGATTGTGCCGGTTGGTTAGACCCCAACTTAAAGGATCAGTTGAGTTTGTTGTGGTTGTTTTTGTTTGATGTGTCAACCGAAGGGCCCCGATAGTGAAAAAGCTACACATTGTTTATCTTGGAATTGTGGAAACATCTTCAGGAGTTCATCTGGATACAGGGAGGAGGCTTAGAAGAAGGGAGTTGAGCTTGGCCGGTGGCTACAACAGTAACGATCAACGATGGACTCCTGACTCTTACGTTTGACGTTAATTACAGAACCGTGACCTATATTAGACAGGCAAAAGCTGTTGATTTGAGCGAGATCGTTAACAAGGTGTGCTTTTTGGCTGATCATACCTGGATATGACCAGCCCTTGGTGTCTTTTGGGCTCTCATTTCGAACGAAACACCGTTGTTTGACGCCGAATCGTCTAATCATCTGCCGCAGCAAGGAAATACCGATGTTAGTCATACAACGTAAGGACCGTCATCATTTTAGGTGAGCAAACTATTTCAACTTGTTTCGGAAGTTTGGCCGAAATTCACGTATCCTGCTTCGACAATCTTGGCGCTTCTTACTCGTTGGCATATCGTCAAGTGGGGAATACCAGTCAACTTAGTGCACTTTTGGGGGCCATTAATAGGAAAGTTCTTGTTCAGCCTGGTTATGTGCACCTATAGATAACATTAACTCATAGGCTCTTCGAGTCTAAGCAAGCCCATTATCCGTCAGAAATTTGTTTCAAGAGATGAATGTTCGCGCTGCCCTTTTCAGGCTTTTTCATCATTTTGGTCATGGTAGAATAAAGATAGTACAGTACCCAGCCTTGCTTTGTCTAGCCCCACGGTTTGACAGGTTTTTCTTTGCTATAGATGCTTTGTACGATAACCGTGAACCAGCAGCATATGAAATTGAGGCCGCTCATGCTTTGGCCAAAGTGCTCCCACGTTGGCTCGAAAAGCGACTAACGGTAAGTCTCACTGTTCGTTTTTCGTTGTGAAGACCCAGGGCATTATGCGACTTTTGTGCTTTTGGTGCGTAATTTACTATACACGGGCAACTAGTTGATGTCCGGTGCGGCTTCTTCTACTGACCGTCTCTTAAAATGCCAGCTGCTGCTGCCGAGTGTGCTTTCTAGTAAGATCGGAGGAGAAACCTGGAAGCTCTGCGGAATCAAACAAAACGATCGACACACAATGGTGCCTACTAATTGATTTGACCACTACAAGTGTATTATTAGTCGCCATGATTTTCACGAGAATTTAGCACCATGGGTCTCCTCTCTGAAATTTCTCGTCTTACCGCTTCCCAACGACTAACGTTGTTTGACGTTCCTACTACACGTATTTCGATCCTGTGGTTCCTTGCTTTGCTGTAACGCTAATTGTGCTGTCGCTTCCGTTCAGAAGTAAGTCGGACGTGAAACTAGCATCACTGCATTCGCGTTTCTTCCATAGGCTGTCTTGGTACCAGCTCCGTACGAGTCGTGGCAGAGTAACTTTACAGCCTGCTCTAATCAGGAACGACCTCTTCCTAACCACTTTGTTGTTCTTGACTTTTATTCAGTTCAAATGCAGTAACTTAACACAACCGGTCGCTTCTGCTTATTTCCACTCACTGCCCTATTAGGACTCAACCACTGGCCGAAATTCTGACAGAGATACGCGGTACTGTTTAACCAACAATTGATAGATGCATTTTTGCACCACTGTTTAAATTATCTGCTCGCTGGTTCGATTGTTTCGTCGCCACCACCTGATGATTTAGCCTGCTCTAATCAGGAACGATCCTCTTCCTACCACTTTGTTGTTCTTGACTTTTATTCAGTTCAAATGCAGTAACTTAACACAACCGGTCGCTTCTGCTTATTTCCACTCACTGCCCTATTAGGACTCAACCACTGGCCGAAATTCTGACAGAGATACGCGGTACTGTTTAACCAACAATTGATAGATGCATTTTTGCACCACTGTTTAAATTATCTGCTCGCTGGTTCGATTGTTTCGTCGCCACCACCTGATGATTTAGATGTTTCAACTCGGGAGTTATGGGCTTTCTATTGACCATTTTCCTGGTTTCCGAGTGGCTTATTATGGTTTTCATTCGGTTTTCAGATGATTGTACGTAAAGCTACGTGTGTAATAAGCGCCCCGTCCAATCATTTTTCAGCTTCCTCCTGACGAACGCCTTTACTACCTTCCCAGCCGTGCCACAATGGAGCTGTCCTATTCACAGCTTATTGATAAACTGGAGGAACTTTCGAGCATACTTCTCCCCACCCCATGCAAGGGTCGCTGCAGCAGTATCAAGTAAGTTTTTCCAAACTTGAGGCAGTTTCACTATATTGTTAGTAGCATATTGTGTTTTTTCACCTCACATTCTTTCTGGTAAGCACGCTTTCCCGACCATACACATGCACCCTGGTGCACATCCCAGGGCCTTACCTCAGAACAATAGGGGATCACGTAGTGGGCTGTGTTTGGATATTTGTTTGTTATCCGAATCGGCTGGCGCTTCTTTGGCAAAAAGAAGCTTGCTACTACTTTTCCGTTTTTTGATTGCCAGTTGCTTCTCTGCAATCATTTAAAGCAAGACATCTGAGAAGACTTGACATCAGTGGATTCTGCGATACCACTCCAATATGGTTTCCTGTGTACTGCAGAGAATTCGATCAGAAAGGTGTTTAGGAAAAGATTAGAGACTGCTGGCATTGCCTATCCTCATATCCGTGCTGTGATGATTTAACTATCATTTTCGAACCGTTAAACATAGTTTGTAGGTACCAGGGACTCTAGGTGCGATCAACTGCTTCAGGTAGACAGATGGCAATTATTCGACAGTCGTTTTTCCGAAGTTCACTTTCATTCCATTGTTCTTGTCTTAAGGATCCGGCAAGCACGGATTCAGCTTCAACTGTAGACGACAATAGGCTTACTAGTTCTGTGATATTTACACTGGCCTAAAACTAACAATAATCACATGTCGTCCGTCTCGTGGTGTCACCAACCGGATCGCCTTACTTACTCTCTGCTTACTAGCCTTACTCCAGGGCGGGTAAGTGAAAATGCTACTGCTGGCGCCTTACTTGTTACACTTTCACTTATTACCCCACCGCAATTCGGATATACTCTGCCAGTTCTATTACTGGCGGCTTCGTTCGCAACGCAGCTGTGGTATGTCCGACTTCAGTAACAACCCTAAGCACCCTAAGTCTGTTTTAAGACTCCGAAAGCCGGCCTATTTAGCTACCTTTAATGTTCGCACACGGAACCAAGCAGGACAACAGGCGGCTCTTCCTCTTATGCTGGATTCCCTCTGCATTGATGTGTGCTGTCTGTCAGAAATAACCATACAGGACGCAAGTACTGTAACTGAATTGACTACACCCTCGCTCTCTTCCACGTTACGCCTGCACATGTCTGAGGAGGAGGCCGATTCAGCTGGATATACCGTGGTAAGATTGTGTTGATCGACCGAGTAGAAGAACCTCCACTTGATTGTTTGACCTTGATAGTCATTTTTGCGCGGTTTGTTTGGCATTATCCTTTGAAGAATCTCGGGAAAGTAAGGACCATGACACATTGTTTATTGCGGGTTTTCTACGCCCCAACGGATCGTAGCTCTGAATTTGCAAAAGTTCCTATGACACTCTTAGCGCTCCTCTTCAAAGAGCATAATGTTCAAACATCGTTGTGGTTGCTGGTGACATGAATACGAAGGTGGGTAGACTGGATGCTGTCGAGGCTTAATTGGGTGGTCGTCTTGGAATGAACGCACGGACACCGGTGGGTGCCTACTGCCGATGTGTGCCAATTAAAGATTGTTCCTTTGCAATAGCAATGTCTGGAACAGCGGAAATCGCTTAGCAGTGTGGAGCCCACCAACGGACCAGTCCTGTATCCAAATAGACCACATTGCTATTAGTTATCGGTGGCGAGGGCCGATCACTGCGTTCCTGCGTGGAGTCCGACCATGCACGTGTTCACTGCATCTTCTCATTGCACTTCTCAAGTGTACTATTAAAGATTGTTCCTTTGCAATAGCAATGTCTGGAACAGCGGAAATCGCTTAGCAGTGTGGAGCCCACCAACGGACCAGTCCTGTATCCAAATAGACCACATTGCTATTAGTTATCGGTGGCGAGGGCCGATCACTGCGTTCCTGCGTGGAGTCCGACCATGCACGTGTTCACTGCATCTTCTCATTGCACTTCTCAAGTGTACTCAAAACGTGCACACCTCGCTTAGCCATTGAGAAGTTCGTGGACTGGAAATTAAGCATTATTATAATCTTAACAGGCTCCTCGAACGCCTATTCATCCGATGTCGGATATCAACGGTTACTAGTGGCTTATCCAAAGCACTACTCAATGCTGGAACATCTGTTTGGGACACAATCCAGTCAAACGGATCCAAGCACTGGATCTCTGATGAAGCCGTGGCTTTGCTGGAGGCCTGGCGTCATATTTATCCAGGCCACTACCACAACTCAACCCGAATCCGGGTGAGGCTGGTTCTCCATGCAGACAGGAAGGCTTGGTGGACCCGAAATGGCAAAGAAATGGAACATACGAAAATTTCTGGAAACGTCCGCAGGCTATCCAACTTGATTCGTTCGACTAGTTCTCGGAACCTCTTGTCAGCTAAGCTATCGGGAACCAGAATGACTCTCTGATATCCAGCAAATTCGAACATTTTGGCCGTTGGGCAGAGTACTTCTAAAAGGAAAACATTTGGCCACCTGCTACCCTGAATCCGGAGTTCTGGCCTTCGACCAGGCTACAATAAGTGCTGTAGTGTTTTATGTTTGTGAGACGTGGCCTATGCGGTTGGATGATGTGAGTCGTCTTTAGGCCTCTGACTACCGATGCCTCAGAAGCCTTTCTGTCGTTGGATGGAGGTAATTATAAAACGTATATTTGGTTGTGCAACAGGTACTTCAGTTTCGGAATACGTCAATCTTTCGGTGGCTCGGTCGTATGCTACGCGTGTCGAAACGGGTTTTGTTCTTCGTACCTCTTTCAGAATACGTAAACCGCGAAGTGAATTACGTATGACTTGGCAGAAGGATATGCAAGAGATTATGAAGAATTCGGGTGTTGCTGGTGTGCTGCGCCTTCAATGATGGGGTCCGCTTGACCCGTGCTGATCTTGGCTGGGGACACTGCAAGAAATGGCAGCTGATTGATATCAATGACGTTCGCACTGTCATTTTCTTCCCCGATTGTCTGACTGCCTCATTCACGTAACATTTAACAAGTCTCACATGTTCGCATCCACCATATAAGGCTTCGTATAACCAACTATGCAAATATGTTAATAAGAAGACGCATTGTCGTGGGACAGTTGCCGAAATTGGAGCGAGGATAAAGCTATTCCCAGACTGTCACCATTCTGATTCGAACCCACCTTGGAGAGCAGCCGGTACTCACCGTCCTTAAAGTTTGCCCAGTCACTTTTATGGTCTTTTGTCAGTTCGTACCAGGTAGTCCTTGTTGGATTTGTGCCAGCACGAAATTAGTAGAACTGTCTGGAACTGGTAGATTGGTATGTGTAGCAGTTGACGAAAGCACCAGTGTGCGGTGCTGTATATATCCATCAAGTGCACCTCCTGTCATATCGCCAAGCTCTTTATACATTAACCACGTTGCGGATTCGTGTACGGTTTCAAGGTTTTTTAGATCCTACTGCCAAAATTTGACATGTTTGAAGTACACTAACCTAACGAAGTTGAAAGAAAGAAATTCGTACGGACTGGGCGTCCACCAGTGCTGGCCACTTGTATCTGTGCGGTCCGCCTCATGGCTCTAGTAGTTCGTTGATCACAAAAGGCTGCGCTCTGCCTTCGGTGTTCTTATACTGTTCTCCGTCCACGTTTTCTTGTCAATCAACTGCACGCCCTATCATCTGCTACACTTAGTCACAGAGTCCAGGTAATTTCCCATGTTGACTCCAAACGTTTTGTGTGTGGGAAAACTTGATTCCAACCCCTTGAATTCGTTCACAAACCTCGTACTCTGTTCAGATAGGTCACTTGAATTAGTGGAACATTTAAGGTGGTGATCCCTTTTGTGGATAACAGCGGCACCCACTGCATTCTGTTCAACCAACGGAAACCCTCCCAGCGTATTCTCCGTGTCCTTCATATTATGGGTTGAATTATGTGCTGCTGAAAACCGAAACAACTTGACATTTCGGTATCAAACACTGGTTAAGTTGTTGAGCAAGACGTCTGGGTTAGCTACCCACTTGTTCATAGTACTGACATTTGGTAACGTACAATATTGGGACAGTGGTGTTGTCGTTTCGCTTCGTTTGTCAGCACCGGTGAGGGAATCCGATAAGTCGTTGGTTGAACCTGGCGTAACGCTATTTACTCGGATCGAATTTCATTGATTTTCTTCTCACTGTTCACTTAACGATGCCTGTCTTTGAAATGAAGGTTAACAGGTGATCACATAATTTGAAAATGTTCGTTCTTTTCTCACACTGTTATCCATGTCACATGGAATGCAAATATTCCAGTTGCAACACCTTCTGTCACATGCCTGGCTTTCTTATTAAGTAATAGACCTAATCTGAAGAAGAACGCGGTGCACATAGATTCAGTATATCGTCGTCATCATCGACAGCATGACATCAGTGTTCAACACTTCACTGCCGTTCAGTCTATGCCATGCATTTATCCTTCCCCAAACAACGGGACTGTTCGAGCGGAGTACAGCTATACTCAGTTCGTGTGACGCTGTGCTATATTTGGCATTGGGTTTGATTCGGTCGGCGCAGTCGAACTTATCTTACTTTGGTTTACGTCGTGCTGTGTTTCGCCATATGCATAGTGCTTGTGGTCCATCACGTGACATCGTATAAAGTGTGCTTGTGACGCTATTAAATTCTCTTTTAGGGATAGTGACCTAATTTCAGCTTGTTTTACTTCGGGCTGTCCATCCATCGGGATCTTTACCCGGAGTTCTGGGCGTTGTTTTTACCTGTGGACCGGTTGTTTCGCGAGCAGCTTGATGAAAGCACGGTTGTGCCGTTTTATCATGTCAGCAACAGTGCCTATGCCTAAAATATTTATCCCTTAGTCCAGTATTATTCTCTTCCACACGTAATTCAGAGTTGCTTCATCACCAGTTCCATGCGTGGGTCGTAGCTTCCTTTTTCGTGCCTGATTCACTGTAGACACTCGCCTTACGATTGTATAGCTTTCTGCATAGAGTTTGTCGTCAGACGTTCCCACGGATGTTCCTACAACGACCCCCTTTTTGTCAGGTTTGGTAACCAAAACAGCTGACGACTTTCCAAAAATAAGAAGGAGTAGACAGAACAATGTTTTTTGTATCCGCTTCTACGGAGACCTCGAATAGTGTGCTGATGATTTTACTCTCGCTCTGTTCAGCAACCGTATGAGTAGTGTAAGAAGTGTGTATCATAATGTCTGAGATATCGTGCCAACTGAAACCTGAAGCAAACCGTTACAGCATATTCAGTTGCTTAAGAAATTCAGCTGGCTTCTAGGCGAGTCTCCCCTCATAATCAAATTGGTGTGCAGATTGTATAGAATTCGGATTTGGGGATAGTTTCTCTCAAGTTCTAGCCAGCCATAAACAGGGAAGCACGACGGCTTTCTAGTGTTTGGTTGTTCAGAACGAGCTGCAGAGTCATGTATCTTCACACTGCTTTATCTAACCCGGCCAATTGTGAATGTACATTTCTTAGAATCCAGCCTCTGAAGCCAAAGGCTACTTGTGTCCGCTCAATTGTACAACTCCATCCTCAATACCCCCCGGTCACCCCTTTGTTCTACGGCGATCTTCAGTTTTTAGTCATTGCTCTGTGATGTTCGCTTGCTTTATATAGATCCTCCTTGACGACGCAAGTGATCTTCGTCAAAGAATTTTAGATATCGCAGACAACCTCATATGAGCTTCGTTACAGCCAACACATTGTCTTCTTATCTGTTTTCTAAACTATCTCCAGTAGACTCCGATTAAAATGGAAGTAACTCGTACTGTAGTATGAAACGAACGGATATAAGGAACCGTCGAAAAGTTTCAGGCAACGCAGAAGTGAATGGTTTTCAGAGCATCCAATCTCTTGTGTTAGCTACTAAAATGTTCTGCTTCGGTCTGGCAATGGCGTTCATGTCTGAAGATAGCGACATGCCCAGACCGTCACCAAAGGCTTCCGCAAGAAAGTCTCCTCGATGAGGTACGCATCATGGGTAGTAAATAGCGCCCGTTGTCGATGATTGATAGGATCTATCAAGTTGAACATTCATGTACTGAACAGAGTCACTTGGAACCATTCTGTTGTGTTGGCATGCGCTGCAAAGTGACCACTAGATTCACAAAGTAACAATATTGTGCGACTCGAAGTTGTTCTCACAAAGAAATATACCCATGATAACTTAGACTGACAGGAAGTTCTGTGCACTCAGCATTGAGATTCTATCAACGGACTTATTGTTTTGACCTTTTGGGTGAGATGATGTTGATTTCCTGGTCTGCGTTACAGTGGTGATTTTTACTGATTCCTTGAATTGAGAAGCACTCAAAGTGCCAGTGATGCAAGCATTCACTCGTTGTTGCGTCGTGTTGTGATGTGTTATTCCTACTTCTTTAGAAGCCGGTATTTCGGCTTGGAACTGTGCTCGTCCCCAGGATCAGTCAGGCATCCTGTAGGGGGTCGAATCACGCACATGAATCAGTTGAGTCCCAACCGGAAAAGTGCGAAGATCCGCAACACGTAGTTTGAATGTATTCAGTTTCGCTTCGTTTTGCTTCGAATTTTCCTCAGAAAACTAATGGGAAGTGATAATTTATTCAGCAGACGGCGGTTGGACATGCATTCTGCTTGTGTCGATCGCCTTCAACTACTGAGAACCCTCCACTCTTCTAGCTGCTCAGATTCTTTTATGAAGTGCCCGTTTACGAACCACTTTCTTTTTGACTTTCTACGCCAACAGACGTCCCATTTTCGGCATTTGTCTTCCTACGTACGTTCTGTGCAGTTGGACCTCTGAAGTGCCCGTTTACGAACCACTTTCTTTTGGACTTTCTACGCTAACAGTCGTCCCATTTTCGGCATTTGTCTTCCTACATACGTTCTGTGCACTTGGACCTCCAATTGATCGATCTCGGTTATCCATCTTCCATTTTCTGTACTCAGGCCGGAGAAATCCAAACTTGACCATTCGGATAAACACTCCTCTGGTAAATCTAAATCATCTGTTCATGAAGAAACTGTAAAACAGCGATCTGTTTATCCTTCATCGACTCCAAAGCGTTCGGCTGGGGGAGGATTAGGCTGGCTGCCCGATCGAGCCATGAGACAGAAGTCTTCAGATGTTGACCAAACAGTAACTGGAAATCAACCCGTTACTGAAGATCAAGACATCTTAGAGGCCCTGCCGGAGCTGAATGAAAGCCGCCTGATTGGCGACCATTGTAAGTCGGTTGAGTCTGATTCACTGTATCATTTTATTTCGGTGTGGTTTATTTTCCCAGTTGAAGCCACGCATTTTAACCATCCTCCTCTTTCGTCGGTCATTCGTTTTAATTTGTAGAAACACGCGACTATGGTGTGAACACATAATTACTGGGTCGGCGTAGATCGATTGAACTATCTGTCAGTCTCGTTTCCACCGTGATTCAGTAGCCTGTGTGTTTGGTCGTGCATGCAGCCTTGTCGCATATGTGGGATTTTGTACGAACAGATTTAATGATTAGAGTTTTCAGACTGAATTGGTTTGAGGAGCGCGAACTGTTCGAATTTTTAATTAACTGGTCAATCCTAATCCCATTTTTCCCATCAACGACCATGTGTTGAAGTCGTAGCTGGCGGTACGCTCGATTCTCTTTATTTGATAGACTCAATGACGCTTATCTCCAAGTTATTTTTGTAAACTGCTCAAAGACACCGGACGGTAAAAGATCTACGAGAAACACTCACCCTCTCGGCAATGGATCATAATGGCAGAACCCTTGAATAAGCAAAACCTTCGATCCCAACGAGAAATGCCTTAAAGCAGCTTATACTTCCGAAAAAGAGAACTCATAAGATCTGATCTCTTTTTGGGTCGGTGAGTCAGCTTGTCTAAGTATGAGAGTTTCTCTGTTTGTTAGGCTCGAGGTAGCTCGGTGTTTAAGGCGCGAACTTACTGACTAGAAATTCCATGGTTGGGATCCAACATCGTTATCTAGACTGCCTCCTGTCTGTGCTTGGGCAACTTTGCAATAACTCAACCCTGGTGATTCCTTCGAGTGACATCGCATCTAGGCACCGAAAGGATGTTGCGGTTGAACCACCAATTACAGAGCTCGTCAGTCTGGTGACCATCCGCGTCCTATCAACAACAGGACAACCCCAATGTGAAGGGTTACTGCATCCTTCCCGTTTTTTCCACTATTACACGTATAGCATTTTCCTCCTACTATGTGGACCTAAACTAACCCCTCCATCCGGTGCAGTCGGCTTCCAGCTGTGGCAACCCGAACCAATGTATGTTTGTACATGGTTCAGTGCTCATAGTCGCATTGAACCCACCTACACCGGCAATGCAAACGCCATCAACTGTTCTCCTACCTTGATGTCGTGGCAAATGTTGAGTGCCATTGGGATGGGCCTAAGTTTGTGCATCTGTAGGATGCTGCGTGATTGAACGTGCAGGTAGGAAGAGTCTTCGAGTCCAATGACCTAGAAGATTGCTCATTACCCCGTGACTTCGCCAGCGTTACTGTCCACCGTAGAAACAGTGCAATTACGATTGTTTGGTTACGTTTGCCTGCGCATTGGTTCCTTCAGGCCTGACTTGGTTGTCTTTACAGCCATTCACTCACACAACCAACAGGTCACTTGCAACTGTTACTGCATGCTTCCCTTGCCGTGTTATCTGCGGCAAGCTCCCTCCTAGAGTCTTATTACCACCATAAATTAAAACGGGTTTTAAGGAACCACTTGGTACCTACGTAGCGTATTCTGGAAACCCCAATTGAGTGATGCGCGAAATCACAAGCCAAGAATTGCGAAGCCTTGAGATTAATCAACACATTATGTGCTACACGTACAATATGAAAAGGGTACAAACCTCAACCTATGGGGATTTCCGTCTAATTGTTGCACGACTTGGTGCAGATCCAAAGAAGGTCCGGTAAGAACAACAAATCGACGTGAATTACCGACAAACGTCACGCATAGCACGTGGTAACGCAGGTGGTCAAACAGCGCGCTGGAAAAAAATCGTCATAATTGATTCAACATGTTAGGGGTAAAAGGTAATGAGGTGTTTTGGGTGAATATCGAATACATGAGGCAGACTCAGAAAACAGTGGGTTCAAGCAATGAAAGGGTTTGATCGAGAGAAAGGAGGTACAGTAGGATGCCTATGAACTGGTCAACTTAATTCGGTTACTCTGACCCAGTTCGATTATGAGTACCATTTGCTTAAAAGCAACAGAAAAACAATAACTATCGCCCAGCGCTTCACTTGCTAGTTTGATTTTATGAATATGTCTTACGCGGAAAACATCCAAAGGAGTCTTTTAAGTGCTCTGCTCAGGGCTTAGAGTGGATTCTGCCGAAGCCTGTACCACAAGTACGTTGTACCTCAAACCACTACCCATTTCGTGCAAGTAGTCAGGTGGCCGGTGAAAATACTAAACCCCTTCCACCGAATAAATTGCACTGTGGAAAACGAAACGAGTACACGGTACCCGAAACGCCTTATAACAATGTAACACCGTACTTTACTCCATGGTCGATAGCGGATAGTCCCCTGAAGAGGCCCCGTCGTTCCGATCTGTCCTGAGTATTGTGGAACCCAAAATTGAAAGCACTGATATGACCGACTGGTTACGATGTGAACGGGTACGATCAATGGCTATACACGACCTGAGAGCGAGCGCACAAATCTTCAGCTTTGACGTAAACCCAACCGCTTCTAGCGTTGAGAAGAACAGGTTTTCGGAGGAGAGCTTTTACTGTCTCATTCAAAGACAACGTACATCTGGAGCGACGCCTAATATATATTTTGGGGAACGGTAACTGCATCAGCACACACAAAGGGTAACCAGCCAACAGGAGACAAGCGCGGTCTTTTCGGAAAAATGTGAAACATGACGGAAATGGCACAAAACTTCGAAACTCAAATTGTTGGAAGATAACTGTGGCAATAATTCAACAACCAAACGGTTTTTTGAAGATACTGATAACCCGAACACCCCCCCCCCCCTTCAAGGAAAAGTTAATAACGGGACTTCCTCGAGTCAATCTAGAAGGGAGCCGTTCGGCGTGAGTGGCGATCGGTCCATCTCATTGGAAGAAGATTTTGCCACTCAGTATTCTTACAGTGGAATGTTTTCTCGAAAGCTGCGACGCTTTCAGGGTTACCGCTTCGTAATATAGAATGTCTATGTATAGTGCATCATTCTGCAAGGTATCTACATGGGTGATTTGTTTAAGTGAGCGAATCTTCAAGGTCGTCAATCACCACCGACTGTGAATACGTTGCCTAATAAATTAAGACATAGCGAATTGCGATAAAAGCCGAGTCGCTTACAGCGGACGGAATTTGCAGGTAGTTCTGCGGCTGAACTTTCTTTCTTCGGGTGGTATGGCAGCTAGGCGGCAGCTACAACCAGTGTACGACGAGTACGCGGTTCTTACAGCTGACAATGATGATGATGATGGCAGCTAGGCACCGAAAGGGCGCTACATCTGAACGATTATTATTATTTATTATGCCTTTCGTGAAAAAAATGTGACAGGATTCCTCTATTACTAAGATGAACCACATAGGCCCCATACGGAACTTTATCCATCGTTAATCTCATCAGGAGGAAATCTTCGCCTACCTTCATTTTTTTCCGAAAATGGATGGCCACCTTATAATGAGCGTGAACTGTCACATATTGGACCGTTAGCACGTGGGAAGGGGATGAACGAATGTTTGTTTATAACTAGAGTGGACGTTTATCCGATCACCGTGAAAGCTCCTTACCTAGGCAGTGTTCAAAATTACAGCTGTTTATTTAGAGCTCATGAGCGTTTAGTTTAGTAGTGGAACTAGTCAAAGTTTTTAGCATCTAGGCGCTTTTCTCGCAGCTGTTTATGGGATCAGTGAGTTCGGCTCTCGTGCCCAATGGCGTGGTTGACCACGTCTCGCTTCACGTTGTTTGGACTTGACATTTTCCTATAATGTAACCTCACACGGCCAAGTGTGGTTTGGGTCTTTATAAGCGAGTGTCCAGCAAACTATGGTCGTCCCTTCCTGAAATGTCGTTTGAGACAACCGGGTCGCATCAGGTCCTCAGTGAACAGAATTAATCAAACAAGCGCTTAATTCAAGAAATTTCAATCCCTATGGGAACCTGAATGTCACCTTTATGCGTGCACCAGTGTTTCGTACAGTTTTTTTGACGAATAGTATAGCTTGAATCCCCATATAGGTTTACTCAGCTATAAATCGATACTCATCTCTGTATCCTACCAACTACTCTCACTCCGAGAGTTTCGTACCCTGTGTTTTGTTTTGTTTACTAATGAGCGTCTTATTTAAAATAGACGCTAATCAGCGAAGCATTGTTTCTAGTTTCGCCAGCTCATTGTACGTATGTTAGTCGTTGAATGTACGACCCGCCCCTGGTTTTGGTTTGT